TCAACAAATAATAACTAATTATTGTCTTCTGTTTTCTAGCCATTTTTAAGTAAAATTATGCTAATGTCATAATCTGCAAATCGCTTTATAATTTACTGATGAAAGGAATTCTGGAATTGCAAAAGTATTGCTACTATTTGTCAATTCCTAGCCTGCATCTTAACTAGGCCACCCACACCCATCCCTTGAAATTGGCACCCAGTAACGCACAAACAAGATCCTGGACTCTTTCGCTTTCTCATCTGGGCTTGTGTTTACTCAGCCCCTGAGCTTTGGGCTCTGTCTCCCACTGACCCTCAGCACTTGCCTGTTGGACCCGACAATTGATGTGACTTACCCTGTTTGACCCTTAGTGTTCTTGCTCCCTCTCTCTTAATCTCAATCTTAATCAAGAGTTTGCAATTTCCCGTTGGTTCCCTCCCCTCTCAACCACCCTGGTAGCTCTACTCCTAAACCTGGGACTCAGGTTGGTGTGTTTGCCTCTATTTTGTAGGGGTCAAACACTTTTCACATTGCAGCAGTTGTTATAAATACTCATTTTTTTTTTTTTGGTTCTCAATAAATGTCATTTAACAGTAGTATAACTATTACTATTATAATACATTATTAATATCTATTAACTCTTTTTAAATTTTTTTATGGAGACATAATATTTGTACATATTTATGAGATACATGTGATATTTTGTTACATGCATAGAATGTGTAATGATCAGGTCAGGGTTATTGGGTGTCATTCACCTTGAGAATTTGTCATTTCTATGTGTTGGACACATTTCAAGACGTCTCTTCTAGCTATTTTGCAATATACAATACTTTGTTGTTGGCTGTGGTTACCATGCTCTGCTATTGAACTCTTTTTGTGTTCCCTGAACTGGCTTCCCCGCCCCCTCCTTTTCATCTGTTGCCTCTGGTCTCCTAGTTGGGTGGCTCCCAAATTCAGCCTGCCCCACAAGACTGGTTCCCAAGTGCTTTATTGGAGGCAATATTTTTTCTTCTTGGGCTTCACGTGCAGGTCTACAAATTGCCATATGCATAATCTATATCAGTTGCGAGAAGGCTTGAAGCTTCTTTCTAAATCTGAGTGTTTCTGACAATTTGTCAAGACTAAAGACCAAACTTGAGCTAATGTCAGTAAATAAGAAAAAGTTTTGGTTAAATTCATTAGTTAGGATGATACCTGCAGTTCTGGAGTGGACAAGAAATATTTATTTTCTTTTTAATCTCTGTGTCTTGTGAGGAATTACCATTTATTATCTTCTCATTTGTTCATCATGTATCAACCCCTACTCTATCCCACCCGGAATGTAAGTTTTTCAGAGCACAGACTTGACCTGTTTATATTCACAGTTCTACCCTCAGTACCCCAAATAGTACTTGGCAAACAGCAGGCAACCAATTAGTGTTTGTTGAATACTCAATGAATGAATGAACGAAGTAATGACTGGGAAGCAGGGTGACATTACGGTTGGACCACAGCCTTTGGCATCAAAGAGATTTCAGTTCAAGTTTTACTTAAGCCACTTCCCAGCTATGAGTATTCTCTAAATTTCAGTTTCTTCTCCAATAAAATGGAGATAATAATAGTAGCTGCCTCATAGGTTTGGGAGAGAATTAAATAAGATAATGCATAGTTTTAGCACAGTAGTTGACATTATTTTCCGAACTTAGTAAATGCTGACTATCATGTCTGTAATTTTCAGGGAAAATTTCAAATGTGATGCTAATTAGAGGTAATTGAACTAATGTATTATGACTAGTAGTGATGACTGTACTAAAGACAAATTAGTTCAATTAATCTGTCAGCAAGATTTTACTTAAAGAGTCAAGTTGACAAAAAATGGATTGCTCATGCCAGCCATGTTTAAAGCACTATACTAGGCTTTCAGAGTGGATGGGATGCAAGGATGGATGGGACACAGCCCCTTTCCTCTAGAAACGTAAAATCTAGAAGAGTGAATATGTGTGCACTATACAGGGCTGAGGATACAAAAATATCAGACATTGTTACCTCCCAGATCGTCTGATTTGCTCCCCATGCCCTATAGAAAATTATTCTAAAATAGTCAACCGCTGCGTTGAACCCCTACAATGGCAAGAAATGAAATGCCTCATGCCTCATGAAATCACTCGTTCTATTTGTGAACAGTAATCACGATTAGAACAATCTTTCTTAAACTTAGCACACATCTCCCTCCCCATGATTTTTACACATTAATCCAACTTCTGCCTTCTGGACACTCACCGAATAAATTCGCTTTTTCTCTTTATATTGAATTTGGCCAAGTAAGGCCTGCAGGCCAAATCCAGCCTACTGTCTATGTTTATAAATAAAGTTTTATTAGAACACAGCCAAGCATTTTTGATTACATGTTGTCAATGGCTGCTTTTGTACTACAATAAGGAACAGAATAATCACAAGAGAGAACTAATGGCCTGCAAAGCCAAAAATATTTACTATTCAGCTCTTCAAGAAAAACTCTTTAAAGTCCTGCTGTATACGGCAGAACTTAAAGACAAGTAACATGTCTTCTCTTAAAGTGAGAAGCAAGGAATTGAGCACAGGACTCCAACTAGAAGCTAATGGAGGCAGATTGAAGTAGCACTGTCACCTCCTTTGTTCTGAAAGCCATACTTCCAATAATGTGGCCAGAGATCAGATTGGTCTTTGACTGACACACAACACTAAGTGTATAAAAGATTAAATCTCCAAGAGATTTTTTTTCCCAGGAGCTTCTGTTATGTCTCCCCGCTCTGCATTGGTATAGCCTAGTGTTAGAAAGTATATATGAAACTTTACACCTTTCCAGCTTGTCCAGGGCAATCAGAAACAATTCAACATATATTCAAAGGCTATGTCAGTCAGGGCCAGATAGGACAAATATAGCATACTCAGCTAGGATTTTTAAGAGAATGTTATGAAGAGACTATCTGTGTACTTGTGGGCAGAGTTAAGAGAACAAGGGAATTTGTCGCCACTCCTCTGTATAAAGAGGAATGGAAAGGGAAGAATTTTGCTGAGACCCGGTGATAGCTGGAGCCAGGGCAGAGGAGCTGCCCAACTAGCATTGTGGTAAAAGAGGCACAACCACGGCTAGAACTACTATGAGGAAGGCGGGGAGGGAGGGAAATAGATACCCGGCATGCTTGTCTCCCATCCTCTGCCTACTGTGCGTGGAACCCCACCGGAAGCTGATAGATGAATGAATGACGTGAACCCAGGGCTTGTCAGTTAATGAGTGTTTGTTGAATTGCAGAAACTGCAATCCCTTTTACTCTGTCTGCCCCGAAGCCCTCACCACTGCTGTTTGGTGTTCCAGACTTTCCACCCCCAACACAGCCTTCCTCCCGTCCCTGCTCCCTCTGCGCCCTTCCCTACCCGCTCGTCCTTTGCCGTCTCCATCAGGAGTGTAGAAAAGAGTCTGGGTTTTATTTGGGTGGTAACAGAACAGAGAAGGAGTTGTTCTGAACAGAGCTGGGATATTATCAGAGAGAACTTTAAGTCCTGAAATAATTCCTAGAATCTAAAATGCATTCTAGAATATTCAGAGTATTAAAAAATTCGGCATCACTGCATCCTATGGTGAAAAATTGGTGGCTTCTAAGAAGCCTTCCCCAGACATCTGTGTCACAGGCTCTGGATTCACCAGACACCTAATGACCAAATGCTCAGACAGCCCCTGTCACATCATAGGTTTTGATTGCAAAGATTTCTGGGCTCTCCATTCATTATGCTAACAGCTACAACATTGAGCGAGTGTGTGTGAGAGAGAGATTGTAATGATATGAAGCTGCTGGTAGCCATCCACTGCTTCCTGACGGCCCCCTCCTCCTCAGTTGAGTCAGTGGGAACAATATTCAGCACTGGCTTCCTCGAGGGATATTCTTTAGGATTCTGAATTTTGAGACTTAGAAATGATTTGCAAACATTGTTTGGTCTGCTACTCCAGTTAGATTATTTGCTTTTGCATGGAATGTGCAGGACAAAATTGGGCACTAAATTAGGAATCACTGTCCACATAGCAAAGCCTGTTTTAAAAAGTAGCTGCAAACATATATGGGCCAATTTTGTATTCAAGTCCTGAAATCATTTTTTCCTAACTCAGATACCCCTTTCTTAGCGTTTATTCCCATACGTCTCACAGACCCAGGCAAAGCAGTCACCAATGTATAAAAGTTCTTATACAAAACCTAAAGCCAGATATACTGACAGGAACAAGGTGGGAACTAGGACTCCTGGGGACACAGCCCAATTTCTGGAAGCCTGTACCCCACCAAAAGTTACTCACAATTCACAAAGCATTCTGCTACCAGTGCTTATATGATCCAATGAGATAGAATCAAATTTGAGCTCCAAATTAGAGTGGCCAAATTCCCCATTCAACTGTAGCTAGTCAGGATTTCTCAATAAGTCTCATTAAGGTTTCCAGAACCAAATTTCATAAACTCTAATCCCATCTAGGATGACTGGCAAAATTTGAGTAAGATTTATAGACTAGATAATAATATTGCATCAGTATGAATTTTCTGATTTTAATCATTCTATTGTGTTTATGAAATTGTCCTTGTTCTTAGGAAAACATACTGAAATATTTAGAGGTACAGAGGCAACATGACTATGACTTAATCTCAAATGATGTCGGAAAAATAATAATGTTTGTATACAGAGAAGAAAGAAGATGAAAAATCGAAGGCGATAAAATATTAACAATTAGAGTATCTGGAGAAGAAAAAGGATAAATCAAAGGTGATAAGATGTTAATTAGGGTATCTGGGTGAAGAGTACATGGGATTATTTTTTACTGTTTTTGTAACTTTTCTGTAAGATTGAAATAACTTCATAATAAAATTGCCAAAATATTAATTCCAGAAAACTAGAGCTGTCATATGCCTGTCACTGAAGTGACAGTATTCAGCCATGCTACATGCTGCAGAATGAGCCAGAAATGGTATGTCCTGTTTTGTCATCTTTGAGTTAAAATGAGTCATTTCCTCTTTCAGCTAAAGAACTCTACTCCTACTCATGAAGGCCAACACTGAGGATGCTTTCCACACGAACCCTGAAGGTAAGGGGCACTCGATCATAGGCTGCTCAGTCATGCCACCTGCGGGCCCTGCTGTCCCTTTCATCCAGGCATGGGCAGGAACTCAGCTATCCTGGTTCACAGAGAATATAACCTCAAACCAGTCAATAACCACACTGGCGCGTTCTGTTGGCCTTGTAGACCTTTCCAGTCTCCCCAGCCTATACAGCTCAGAAAACCTGATGCTCATTTCCTTCTCTGTTTTCTCAAAGAAAATACCAAAGCTTTTAATAGCTGATATCTTCTGGCTGTGCGGTTATGGGAGATTTTGCTTTTCTTTTCATAGTTTTCTATAGTTAAGAGATCGTTGACAAAGACTGTGTTAATTTCATAATCAGAAAGAGAAATATCATCTTTGCTTTTATTTACCCAGGCAACTATACATAAATTCTTGCCACAGTTTTCTGGGTCCCCCTTCAGGATTGTCACTGCTTCATTGTCACTTCTTCCTCCCAGCCTATGTGGCAAGATTTATATATTACATATTCTGGATCTTTTCCATCTACCAGTGGCAAGGAAATCCTAGGATGCCAGGACTGCCTGACAAATAGGTCATGAAGCATATTACTCCATTTTACAGATGGACAAACTAAGCCCCATGGCTTGCCTCTGTCTATGCAACCATCCAAGCATCCAGACCTGAGATGAGCTTGGCATGTGTAGCCTGAAGCTGTACTCTCTCTCTTTTGGAGGAAGTTAAGAACCTGTGAAGATAGGAAACTGACTAGGTTATTGGTTGAAGAAACTCCTAAGAAAAACTTAACTGGGATTTCTTGGGGCCATTTCAGGGTGTTTATTAGTCCTCCCACATTGAAAACGAGGTAGCCCCATGAGATCCATCTGCCACTTCAGCGTCAAGACTAAGCCTGAACTTTTCCTCTGGACCAGAGTTTCTCAAACAACGCTGTTGACATTCTGGGGCCACATACTTCTTTGTTGTGAGGTTGTTCTGTGGATCATATGATGCTTAGTACCATCCCTGGTCTCCCACTAAATGATAATCGGCCACCAACTCTCCCCAGCTACAGCAACCAACAGTGTCTTCACATATTGCCTAAGGTTCCAAGGAAGACAAAACTTTCCCCCCTAGAAGTGGCAATAAAATAATGTTTCCAGACACTGCCAAATCCCCTGGGTGGGGGCAAAATTGCCCCTGTCAACAACCACTGCTCTGAGTGACCTCGGCCCAGCAGGAACTTTTGTTTTTCATGCAAATAGAGTGAAATTTATAGTGTCCAGAGTAAACATTAGCAAGTATTTGTGGAAGGGATACTATAAGGCATCAACAGCAGCCTGTGTCATAACAACCCTGCATGAGAGTCTCTGGAAACTTGGAACTGGTCAATCAACCTACTCAGACTTCTCTGAGTTTCCTTCTGCTATTAGGACTTCTGCCCCTTGATGCCAAATGCCTCATGATATTTACTGGAAGGAAAGGCAAAGGAGAAGAGGTAAAGCAGAATACTGTAAGTAGTCCTTTCCTTCAGGAGGTCATAGAGATCCAGAAAGCCTGGTACGGTCAGAACTGGGTTGCAAAGCACCAGAGGGGATTTGGCCGCCATTTTGTGTTTATATATGTATTTATTTGTAGACCACATTTCTGTGTGAAAGGTTTGAGACATAGTCTCCAATTTACTTTATAAAATTTTGTATTTTTTCAACAAACAAGTGCCCACTCTGGACAGTGGCTTAACTAGAAATCCTTCTTTTCATTCACCAAATAGTATAGGGCAAGTGGGGTGGTGATAGTAGATTTACCTGTGGTACGAATTGGCAAACTGGGAGCCTGAGAGTAAATCCCAAAGTGCTAGGGTTGGTGCATACTCTTCTTCCTCATGTCCAAGTGCACCTCAAGGGCCTTTTATTCCTCTTAATGATCTCCTTCCTCCAGCATCCACCCACTGCTGTCCTCCACCCTTTACCCAACCTGGTGTTTGGATTGCAACGATGCTTCTGATGCCAATGGATATCTGTGAAAACACAGGCAGAAACTTGAAAGCAATTACATGGTCATCCAAGAGAAACAGACACACGGCTCAATTTCAGGGTGAAAAGAATATCCAGAAAGCAACATTCATAAAAGAATTCAGGGGGGAAAAAAGAACTCCCTAAAAGAAGGGGTTAGAATTAAGAGTAGAACTGCACTTCCTGTCCAAGATGTGACTAGAAGTGCCATAGTGCATTTTGTGGCCTTTAATCTGGTTTCCAGTCTCTTAGACTTAGCTGTTACCTTGCCAATCCTGTCCCAATGGTAATGGTTGCTCCTTAACACTCCCTGGAGCTCCACCCCCCACCCCAGGGTGGAACAAAATGTCTTTCTGCCTGGCACGCCAGATTCTTGTGCAAGAGCTCTGGCATCCTTTGGGCTCTACCTGTTCCAGCCCTCCCCCTCCAGCCCTTTCCCAGGCTCCCAAACACATGCTTCTGACCTTACCTGTCCCCAGACTGCAAGAGGATGGAAGGGGCTTTGACACAGCCCAGGCTACTGGGGAGAATGTGCCCATCCACAGCATGTGCTTTGTGGTGCATCTGAATCTCTAAGCTCAGGAACTTTTCACCCACTGCTTACCTGCCAGAGACCCAAATCCTTATCACTTGAGCCTCTGCCTTAACTAAAGTGTGACATTACTTAAAACCTGCATCCTTACCTAAGTGGGCTAAGGACTTAATTTATGAAAAGCAATTTGTTTATGAGTTTGACTTGCTGGTGCCTTGGGATTGGGACATAAGACAGGTCAGCTTTGATTGCAGTGGAGAGACTGCAATGATCAGATTAGTAGGCTCTAGACCTGTACTGTCTACTACACAAGCCATAGCTACATGTGTCAATTTAAATAATATTAAAAATTCAGTTTCTCAGTCACTCTGGGTACATTTCAAATATTTACTAGCCTCATGTGGCTATTGGATGCCATTGGACACAGTAGCTTTATAACATTTCCATCATCATAGGAAGTTCTATTGGATAGTACTCCTCGAGACTGAGGCTGGTATTTCCAGTGAGGAGTTCTAGAAGGGAGAGGCAGCCTAACATCACCAGCTCTGTGGGGAGAGATAGAGAAAAGTAGGAGAAGGAACAGAATCCTAAAGGAAAGGGGGCCAAACTTTGCATGCTTTGCCTTCAAGGGCCCAGCCCTGAACGCACATGCATCTGCCCCACCAGATATCTGGGGTCAGCTTTGGGGCCCATTTCCTTCCTTGTATGGCCCCTGAGTCCTATGGGTTTCTTGTGAAGCAAGAGACCCTGTCCCAAATGTTGATGCAATAAGAACTCAGAGCATCGCTCACGTAGAGGAGCCACTGGGCTCCCAGCCAAAGGCAAAGCAGCACTCTGGTGGCACAAGGCAGCCAGGTAGTATCCAGGAGTCCATGTAGAGCTGGGAGTTCCCAAATTGAAAGACATTTAGGAGCAAAGGAGCATCTTCTCCATCTGGAATTATACCCCCACTCAGAGAATCTGAAGAACATAGAGGGTCCCAAGGAGTAGTTTCACCCCTAACTGGTGACGGTAGAAGAGCAGTTGTCACCCCTTGCCAATGACAGTAGCTCGCACTTATATAGCATTTTGCGGCCCTGTGGCACACTTTCACAGTAATCATTCATCTCATTCTCACAATAGTTGTCTGAGGAAAGCAGGGAAGATGTGACACCCTCAACACTTTATGCTAGAAGAAACTCATGCCCCGAAAGAGGAGGAGACATGCCAAAGTCAATGTGGCTTGGTAAATGGCAGAACTGGCCCTACAAGCCTCTACTTTCTATCTGGAGCTCATGTCACCTCTCTCAGGTGGTTGGGGCTACTTGGTACATGTCCAAGTTCCTAAGTGTGTCAGCTCCAAACCATGTGACCTTCCCACAGATCATGCTGCAAGCTCAGTTCATATCCAACCCTAAGCCAATGACCAAGCCCCCGAATATCTCATGAGCTCTCCTTTGTACATTGACTCACGAGAGCTGATGTGCTGAGAAATGGTGCATACAATGCTCTAGGATCTACTGATTCTCTTTTCCTTTGCAAAAGACACAAGGAAAATGCTGCTTCCCTGGCTCCTGCAGTAGGAGACCCTTAAACATGCCAGTGGATTTTGCTTTCTAGAAAAGGATCCAGAAATTGTGATCCCAGTAGCCCATTTATAGGACTTCCAATAGTTTGCAGCCAAATATTTATGATTTATTCTCCAATTTGAAAGAACCCTTTGTTCACAATCTATGGGAGCCATTTACATACTTGGCTACAGAGCAGATCAGATTCTGTATTTTCCTTTGACATCATGCACATGAAAAGATACACAGAGTAATTATTGGACTTTCTTTTCCAGTGAGCTCTAATACTAAATCGGCCACTGTCTAGAAAACTGAAAAGAAAAAATCAAGAGGATAATCAAATATATAAAGCAATATTGAGGGTAGTGACCAAAGTGAAATGACTACTTTAAATGTGCCCAGTTAAGCGATACCCCTAGCAACACACTACTTTCCTTCCCTTTGCAGCAGCATCTCAATACTTCTCAGTTAGCATCCACCTTTCTCTATCTCTAAGCCACTAGATTTAAAAATTAAACCTCTGAGCTGTCCATGCCAAACTGTGACCAAATTCCCCCAAAGTCCTTTGGAGGACTGTTGCTGGGCTGGGCTGTTCTACTCTGAGAGCTCTACATCCTCCCAGGGCCTGAAGAAGCAGAGACTCCAGTTAAACAGTGTATGTGTCACCCTGACCCAAGAAGTCCTGAGAAAGAACAGTTAGTTCTAGGTTTGATTCAGCAGCTCATGCTATCTCTAAGGACCCAGCCTCTTTCCATTTGGTGGAGACCTCTCCTCCTCCCTCTCTCTTTACCAGGGAGGAAAATCTTTCCCAGCAGCCCCCAGACGACTTCTACAAGGTCTCAGGGGGCAGAACCATGTGGGATGACCACTCTACACCAATCACAGACAAAAGGCGAATGGGATTACCATGATTAGCTTAGACTGATACCTCCTCACTT